TGTGCTGCTGTACTGGACTCTGTCCCTGTCTGTGGCGTGGGGCTCCACTGTCCAGCTGGACAGTAATGGATACAGAGGAGTGGTCATCGCCATTCACCCCAGAGTGCCAGAGAGCCCTGCCCTCATCTCCAGCATCAAGGTGAGCGGTGCTCAGGCTCGGAGCTGAGGCGGTCACTCTGCAGGTGTGCCACTCGAGCCTGTCTGTGTCTCCTCTTCCCAACAGGACATGTTCGCCGCGGCCTCGTCGTACCTGTTCGCCGCCACAGGGAGGCGAGCTTACTTCCAGGAGGTCAGGATCCTCGTGCCCAACACCTGGAGAAGAAACAACAGCCTCTACAGCAGGCCGCGCACGGAGAAATACACAAAGGTCAAGTACTGTAGTGTACGACACCATACTGAGAAAGACCCCACAGTCCAGGCTCTATAATACACAATACTACCCTGTAGTGAGAAATACTCAACAGGCCAGACTATGTACTTCACTATACAACACTGTACTGAGAAATACCCCCCAATACAGACTCTATACTTCACCATACTACACTGCAATAAGAAACACTCCACAGTCCAGACTCTGTACTTCACTATACTACACTGTACTGAGAAATACCCCCCAATCCAGACTATATACTTCAACATACTACACTGTACTGAGAAACACTCCACAGTCCAGACTCTGTACTTCACTATACTACACTGTACTGAGAAAAACCCCACAATCCAGACTATGTAATACAAAATACTACACTGTACTGAGAAATACTCCACAGGCCAGACTATGTACTTCACTATACTACACCGTACTGAGAAATACCCCCCAATCCAGACTCTATACTTCACCATACTACACTGCAATAAGAAATACTCCACAGTCCAGACTCTGAACTTCACTATACTACACTGTACTGATAAAAGCTCCACAGTCCAGGCTCTGTACTTCACTATACTACACGTACTGAGAAATTCTCCACAGTCCAGACTCTGTACTTCACTATACTACACTGTACTGATAAATACTCCATAGGCTAGACTATACTACACTGTACTAAGAAATGCTCCACAGTCCATACTCTGTACTTCACTACACTACACTGTACTGAGGAACACTCCACAGGCCAGATTATGCACTTCACTATACTACACTGTACTGAGAAATACTCCATAGGCTAGACTATACTACACTGTACTGAGAAATACTCCACAGGCTACACTCTGTACTGCACTATACTACCCTGCAGAGAGAACTACTCCAAAGTCCAGGCTCAAAGGAGATACACAGAGTACACAGCTGGTCTCTCCTGTGCCCCCTACAGGCCAGTGTGATCGTGTCAGACCCCTCCTGCAAGGACAGCACAGGACCTCCCGCTGCTCCCTACACGCTGACCGATGGGCACTGCGGCCAGCCGGGACGGTACACACACATGAGCCCCAGGTACCTGCTGGAGGAACAGGGCGTCCGCAGCTACGGACCCAGAGGTGAGGGGTCAAACATGGAGCGTCCAGTCAGTGTGT